TCTCCATAGTTTTTGAATATTGGAACCACATATGCCATTTTCCAACAAGCAGGAAAACAAGACTCAGTCAAACACTTGTTAAATAGTTTGAGAGAATTGAAGTAAGTTCGGAAGAACAATTCTGCATGACTGTGACAGGAATGTTGTTTGGACCACAAGCTGTAGACAAGTTTAATTGAGATATGACTTTAGCAACAGAAGCCAGAGTGATTTGAATGTCTAACAATGGGTCAACCTGTTTGACTGGAATGGAAGGAAGAGAATGTCCATAAGATTCAAGAGTGGAATTAGAAGAAAAGTTTTTTGCAAATAGTTCGGCCTTATCCTTGGGAGAGGTAATAAGATCAGTCCCATGAATGAGAGATGGAATGTTAGATCTACCCTTGTTAATAATGCTGTTGAAGATTTACCAAAAGTCTATAGAGACTAACTTCTGCGATAAGATGCAAGATTTAGTGAACTGAGAATAATGGAGTTTAGCATCAGAAAGCACCTTTTTACATCGATTTCTTGAAATAATTAATAGCCGTTTGTTCTCAAGAGAGTTGTTCTTTTGAAAAAGATGAAAAAAATGATTACGATTGGATATAGCAGCCGCACAAAAAAGGAGAAAACCATGGAGTAGAATGAGGCTTGACTTGAAACCGACGAGAAAAAATAAAAGCTTCCATTCCAGCCTGAATCCAGGAGGTTACGTAGGAGGCGCATTTGTCAGCTGAGAGAAAAAAATCATCAGCCCAAGGACCATCACGAAGAAAATCACGAAAGGAATCCCAGTCAGCTTTAATGTAGTAGTAGGTAGTGCGATGATAAGGTGAGCCCAAAAAAGAAGTACGAGAAGAAAGATTTATAGAGATCATTGCATGGTCAGAACCACCTAAGGGAGGAAAGGTAGAAACTGAATATAAGCTAGGGTCAGAGACAAGACATAAGTCAAGGAGTGAAGGTAAATGATTAGGGTTGTCAGGAAAACGAGTCACAAAGTTAACTATCTGAGTAAGAGATTGAGAAACGCAGAAGTTAAAGGCTTTAGTGCCAGCAGGATCAGTGGTGTTAGAGCCAAGCCATTCAGTGTGATGAGCATTAAAATCACCAACAACAACAATATTGGCAGAGGGGTAAAGAGAGAGGGCATGGTCAATTTGATCAGAGATAACATTTAAAAGAGTGCAATCATGGGAAGAAGGAGAACGATAAAGAACAAAGAGAAAGGTGATAGAGTGAAGAGGTGCTAGGCGAAAGCACATAAAAGAATGGTTAAAGGATTCGAACCTGATTTCATGACAAATAAGGGAATTAATGTGTATGTATACCCCTAAACCTAGCATGTGACTATTGGAGTC